CGGACGCCTTCCAGAGAGTAGAGTACAGGAGGTTCATCGGACACCTTCCAGAGAGTAGAGTACAGGAGGCTCACCGGACGCTTCTCACAGTAATTGTTATAAATCGTTTTATCCGTTTCGTTAATATTGTAACGGGAGGGTACGGCTGCTTAGGAGAGTACGCTCGAAAGCAAAAGCAACAGCTCGAACACTGCATTGATTTGTTCGAAATTATTTTCTACCAAACATTTAACCTGTATCGACGAAAGATAAATAAACTTTTGTGTGTTTTTCCCAGATACCAAAGAATATCCTTGCATTCCATAAAATCCTACTGCAGGAGTAATTTATGTTAATAACCGCATATTCACGATACGCGATATTCACGACGTCGAAGAAATTTCATATCTGCAAAAATCAATTCCATATTTCCTCCACAAATTACACCGTCGAAGTTCCTCTCGTTGGAAAATTTTAATCCAGATTTAATCGTCAGAAGTTCATATCTACCGTGCAAACGTTAAGACGCGATCAAAGCTCAGCTACCCTCCAACAGCCGCGGAAATTTGCGGGCAGAATCATCGCTAATCACGCGACTAATTCGTGGTTTTCTCTCCCTGTTACAGATACTCCAGCTACAGATGAACGATTACAGATACCACTACATGTTCACCACGTTCGTAAGTATTCCACGCAGAGACCAATTTACTGTGACGGAAATTAGACACGGAGGAACCCTCTCTTTTAAGCCACGCTTTGATACCACCCGCGAAAGTTGGTTAGCCTTGCTCCTTTGACGCACTCGAGCTTTTCAGCCGCACTCGCGTGTTCACCACCGCCGATGGGTCCACTTTGTCGAATAAACGGGCCGCAATTGGACTGCTGGCCAATCTGACATCCTTACGGTGGATTACGATCTACGAGTGAACGAGTATTGGAGGCAGATAGTGTAACAGTTGAATGGGACGTTAGATTCGATCTAGTTCTGCACGATGAAAACACGAGAAAAAATTTGTTCGACGATCGAAATCTAGGTTGTTTATTTTTGGTACAAGTTTGAGTAATTTGAAGTTGAAACATGTCTGAAACGGTGATTTGATCGCTTGCATCTGGTTTTCATGGTAAGCTAGATCGACGATGCTGCAATTAAATATCAATTCGACGTAAAAATTCAGCTCAATGTGACACTCGAGTGTCCGATTATCTCTCGAAGCAGCCGCGCTTCATTTGGAAACTCTGGAAAGTCCACCTTTGCGAATTATTCGGCATGAAATTAGGCGATCTCTGCTATCGACTCTGTCCACTTGTTTCGGAAACAAAATTGATCGAAGCGTTCGCAATTTTTCAACGCGCGCTGCTTGTTAAACGCAGCTAAACTCGTCGTGAAAATCGTGGGAAATTTCTGTCGAATGCAAACCACGTGTATCGCCACTTAAAAATTTTCGAACGTTTATTAAATTGCAAATTCTGGATCGATTTAAAAAAAGTCATTTTTATTACTTCCCACTGTGTCATTAATTCGCCTGGAATTAATTCCATTTCGCTAATTTAATCGAACAAGTGGTTCCACAATTTTAACCGATATTGTAAATAAACAACGTCGCGAAAAGCAGTTGATTGCTTGTCAAATAACTTGTCAAATTTTTAACGAGTGTTTGTAAATACAGAATGTATTACAGAAAGAAAAACGACTGATCAGTTCGAAATAACGGATCTGTACGTTGGACGTCCGTGACTTTACAAATTCGACACATTTCTGAAGCGAAACGACGGACAAGCGAGTCCTTTGGCAGGCATCTGTGGCAATTCAGTGTAAATGGTCGCGTTTATTCGTACGATCGTTCGGCCGTCGCGATTCGAGGAGCACGACAGCACGGTAAATCGTGCGACCGCGTTCCTCGATCGTGCACGAATCGACGCGAATTAACAGGCAGGCATTTGTCTATCAGCGGGTTGCATCGAATGAATTTCCCCCGTGGAATGCCAGCCGTCGGTATAATCTGCTCTAAGGGCTGGTTCGTACATCCTCGCGACGATTAATGGCCGAGTGCCGTTGACGCATGGGATCGTGACTTTTTCGAAAAACAGAATTGCTTTTCCAGACTACAATATGAGCCCATAAAAAAGATCGTCGATATTAAAGTACAGTGTACAGATAAATTTGAGAGCTTTCTCTTTAAAGTAGCACACGTACACTGTCTCTTATTTCGAGATATTCAAGCTTTTGAATTATTGCAATTTTTGGTTCTACCTGATTTCGAGGTACTTCAAATATTTATCTAATCTGGGAAAGTTCGTAGAGCAGCCGATGGAAAGATAGAGGAACGAATATGCAGAAAGGCGATAAAGACAATTCTTGGCAGCGAAAAGTTTTACTTGAACCTACCCGTGGCGCCAGATGTGTGTACTTTTAAAATAAAGAGAAAATAGAAGGAGGAAGAGAACGGGGAATTTTTGGGAAACTCGGCAAGATTGTAACTTTAAGACGAAACGAATGAACGGAGTTAAAGGTGAAATTCTGTTTCACAGTCGCGGATCGTAATTCAAATAACAGGTAATTCAATAAGAGTACTACAGACGAGTTAATGCTTGCTGATACAACGACACCGATAGATAATTATGACATTTATTAGCGGGCAAATGTTGACCGAAACAATCCCGAATGAAACAGACAGAGTGACGCGATCGAGGGCAGCCTGTGACAAAGGGTTGTCTGTCAATTTCACGCGACGATCGATCGCGTCCGCTGTTGTTAATGTTGCGCGTGTCTCGCATAGCGACTCGCTATTACCATCATAATCATCGATCATTGAAATCGTTCCCATGTGTCATCCGTGGGAATATGAAATTTCCACTCGATGAAAGTCAAACATCCGCGATATTTCTCCGGAATGTCCTACATTCCCGTATAATTTTACACGCAAATTTTTCGACCCAAGTGCATTTTGAAAAATCGATCCGACCGAATCTTCCGTTCCATCTACTCGCGCTGCACGCCGCGTCTCGAATTCCCAGGAGAAGCACGATTCTTACCCTTATCGCTCCTCGAAACGCGGAATCTCTTACGAGTTCTCCTCGATTTTCGAGCACGATGTATAAACATAACAGCGAGTTCGGAGATAAATCACTCCGCGGCGGTATGACGACAGGTTCCATCGGCGTTATCGCGATTCGTGGGGAAGAATAACGGTGCGGCGACAGGAAAAGAGAGTCGAAAATCACGCGAAAGGGTGTACAGGGTCAGAGAGGAAGTTCCTTCGAGGCAGAAAGCCGCTTTATCTGTCGGCGGTGGCGTCCCGACGCGGGTCGTCGACCTCGTCCCCGTGCACATTATTTACCTTAACGATGCAACCTCCAGCGATACATCGCTCTGTAATAATTATAAATCATATCTGACTGTGCTGGCTGTGTTTCGAGGAAGCTTAGCTGCTCGAGACGCTCCTCAGAGGGTGTACCTGAAATTCTGTGCAATTGCTCGGCGAGGAATAACATTTTTCCTCAATTTAAACTCCCTACTTTGCAAGCTTCTCTAACAGCGAGAACGATTCTCTCTGACGAAGAAAAGTTACACGTACTTATTCCACGTTTTAAAATAGACTAGTTGGTCTCGCACGCGAATAGTTTGTTGTTTATTTTTCGTGAGATTTTAATTGTTCAAACGCGCGCAATATCGGGGAAATCGAATACCGAACATAGCCGGTGTTTTTATTAAGAGGAGTATTTTTCGCGAATTTATTTCGGCACAAGAGCTACGAGTTTTGTTACATTCCATTCCAACGTAATAAAATGCGTCCCGATCGTGTATCGAGTAACGCTTTATTAAATTCTCCCCCCCCCTTTTTTTCTCTCCCTCTCTTTCTATGTAGAAAGATAACACGTATAAAACGAGGACGAGTCGAGAGAAATATCTGATTTCAGGACATCGAAACGTTCGATCTGGAGGACTTCAAGTACAACAGCGTGAACATGACTGCGTTCCGTCTGGTGGATCTAGAGGAGCCAAAAGTGGCCGAAGTTCTACGACAGATGGAACGCTTCCAGCCGATTGGCTACGCGATCCTCAACAAAACCGGAGTTATCCAGGTTGGTGGAAAGTTCATGTAACTCTGAGGTATTCCCGGCCGCCGGAAGTCGCTGTTATCGAGCAACGTCCCGGAACTGGTCTCGCGTTGCTGCTCCCTTGCCTGTTGAGACGGAAAACGGTTTTCTGCGTTTCCATCGGGTGATCGCGCGCGAACTTCAGACAGGAACTTTTTTCAACTTCGATATTACCGCGTAACCGCACAAAGGAAAATAATTCGAGTAGAAAAGAGAAAAGTAGAAAGTAGGAAACAATTGGAATTGATAGACATCGCTATCGATGAATTTGGAATAAATTTTAGGGATCAGAGAGGTCATAAAAGTTACTCAAGTAATTAACAAACTATTTCTGTCATAATTGTCAATTATTAATTTCTGTATTTTGAAAGAAAAGTTTCTCAAATATTCGTAGAAGTTTATTTAATGGACAATGATTTTTTAATCACCGTAACATTTTAATAAATCATTTTCGTAGTGTCGTATAAATTGTTCTCACCTATTTCACGCGGTATAAATTTAAAAACACCCTGTACAGTAGTTTTCAACGAACACTTTCTCAACTTTGACTTAAAATTTCATTAGAAATAACTAAAAACTTATCCATAGAACCATGCTCATTATATAAAGGAAAGCGTCCGCTTTAAAACATGCTTTGTTTCAAATTGATACGATAATTAGTTCCGGAGATATGAAGCTTCGAAGCGCACCGTGCACCGAGCGCGCGTCACCCTTGAATGGGGGTGAATTCCAGGAAAACGGTGTGACCCACTTCGCTTCCTGGAAATGCGTACGTCTAGAGTAGTAGTAGTGAAAAAACGCTGACTCAGTTGTGCACTGACCAGCGCACACGTGGGGCGCTTAGGGTAGGTCAGTGGCCTCTGAGAGAGAGTGAGAGGTCCGACTGTGCGAGTGAGACGGAGATAGAGAAAGATCAAAAATTACGGTCCGCTTCCAACGACGATATCTCGCGAACGGATAGACGCATTCGCATGAAACAAAAACTGTTTTAAAGGGGAAGATTCAACGCTTCCGCTGATGTGCGATATATTTTTCTGAGACTAAGCGTCGATAAGTTATTCGACGTCGAAGAAACGCTATTTTTAATCAGCTTTAATCGGTATAATTGGAGCTTTATGAGACATAAATTGTGGTAAATTTTCCCGGTAAGTTATCGAAATCAGATTACAAAACGCGACGAAACGAAATCAGACATGCTTGCATTTCAAAGTTGCGCATAATGAGTCTCTTTGGTATGCGAAATTAATACCCCGAATAATTTTGTTAATTGTGTATTAATGAAATTAAAGCTGTCCAACTTTGTGCTTCTCTGTTCTCGATCGAGATTTCTCTCTGCAATTTTCGACTCTGTTAATATTTAAATCGCGTATAATGTCGTGTTTCCATTAATTACACTGTGCTCTGTGTCGTTATTATCGGGAAGGAATATGTTTCGTAAAAAGCTTGTATCGGCGAGGTAAAAAGGAACCAACGAACGATGAAATTGTCAACAGCTGTCGATCCTTAATAGAACGTGATTCGCGATAAACGATTTAATTAAGACAACTCGAAACACGGCCCAGTTTTTTCCCGAGAACCGCGACAATCGCGAATTACCAATTTCGGCTACTCTTCGTGAAACGAAATATTCGGAGCGCGATAGTTATTCGCGAATTAAATACAAGTGTAATTTCTCTCGACGCTGGAACGAAATAACGAGCTACAGAAGTTGACGAACGCAAAGCCGGCGCGTTTGATAAATTTTACAGAACAAACGGAAAATTATCTGGAAGGAGTCGAAGAAGACTTTTAAGATGCGATCGATGACGAAGTAATCGCGTTACCATGAAACTATTAATGATCATAAAAACGACCATTCCAACGGAAGTTTCAACTTTGATTTCATAAAGAACGCTTCGATTCCTACTTTACCGTTCCCTCGAAATCGTTCGACGTTCATTGTTCGGTAAATCATGCGATTATTCACCGCTAGCCGACAATGGATCTCGCCGCAGATTCAATTTCTTCCCGAGCTCGTTCGTAGGTGACTATAGAGACTCGAGGAAACTTACTCTTATAACACCGGTGCCCTTAAAATTCGACGATGCGGTAAGAAAATCGAGGAGCACAGGTTCAATCAGCTTTTCACACGAGGGGAAACGTATGTTTCAGGCAGAACCAGCTTTGGTGTACGACAGCGTGCAGGTTTTCGCGCACGGTTTGGCCGCGTTGGATCGCAGCCACGACCTCAAGCCCGCCAATTTGTCGTGCGAGAAAGAGGAGCCATGGGACGATGGTCTTTCATTGTACAACTACATTAATACCGTACGTACGTTCTATAATTTTTCACTAACGTGGCGGGTCGTTCGTTAAGGGGACCGCAGTGCGCAACAGAAACAACTCTACGCAGAAATCGCGTTAGAAAAGCTGCTGTAATTGATATTAACCGTATAAAATAGAAAAAAATTGAGCAAGATAAAAAATGACTTCACTGTAAGCCTATGAAATAGCGCGAATACCGCAGAACGAAGAATCGATAGAAGCTTCTTTATGGAAAAAATATTCCTCGACAGATTTAAATCTCGTAAAAAATTCAATTCCACTAGAGTTCCTGTATCGATATCGTAGAAATTCTATATGCACGTGAAGATGTGTATTCAGCGTTAACTAAAGAAAACCCCAAGTGTAATGTCTACATTCTCACATTATTCGCCATATTTTCCCTTTCAAATTGAACGTCGATCTTTCTCCTCATCCGCGCCAAGTTCAACTTTGCTCCAATTAACAGATTGAAAAGCACGTTTCGCCTATAATTGAGCGGGTAATTCGCAAAGAGAAGTGTTTCTTGATTTTCCCGCTGCCTCGACCAACTCCACACCGTGGAAATTGAAAACAGAAACGCAAAACATAAAGGCACAAATGCAGAAGTTCGAAAGTTCCTATATCGATTCATCACTCTTCTCATTCACCTCGTCTGTTCGCCGTTCCGTTCATTGAAATTCCCACTCTTGGTTAACCAACTAATTTTCAACAAACCTCTGCCTGCCGAACTTTCCATACAAGTAAACGTACATGTGGTAGAAACGTTTCTGTATAAATGTTACAGCAGCTGTGTCAGCTTCTGCGTGATATATCGAGAATCTGTGAAAGCCTCGACGAAACGAAAACACGAAATCGAGTGAAATTTATTATACGTAGAGGATGTAAAAATTGAACAGATCAAGTAAGTTATTCTTCGAGAAAGCAAACGGTAATTCTTACGATTTGAACGTGATCTTACACACGCATCGTCGTAAACCATTTTTCGCTGGTTTCGCTCAATTCGAAAACGATTCGTTCGTTTACCGTAGTAATAATTTTCGTCCGGCTGGATTCGTCGATCCGCCGTATATCAGAGAGGAAGTCGAAAGGCTGGCTGTCATAGGGGGTGGCCATGGAGTGAAGTATATCGCATAAATTTCAGCGATAGGACGTGACGGTATATCGTGCGGTGCTTTACGAGTGAAGCTCCTTTAACGAACAGCCGACTCCGACCGACAAAGCACGTTACCTAACTATGTCTCTCCCCCTCCATTTCGACCCTTCTGTAACGCTTATCCGTAATTTATGAAGCGATTTTATTTTTTCAAGTCGTGAAATTTTTCACTTCCCTTTTTTCCACCGTCGTAAACGTCGCCAACGATGATTCGACGAGACTTTGAAAGCTCGTAGGCTGTCCTTTTACGAAGCCACCGAACCTCTTCGATCGAAAATGTCGACTCGTCGTTTACGAGCCTCCGCCTGCCGAAAATTTGGGTTAATTAGCGAGGGACGATCGAGTGTTTTCCGTACTTCGTTTAAATTCGTTTATAGCTCGCAGCTGGCTTGCATTAACGCCGGTACTGTCTTCTCATTGGTGTGTTTAATCGGCGAAGAAATTACGGTGTCTCCTGTTTTACTGTGCCGAGTAAACGTGTGAATTGTAGAGAGAAAGAATTACCACTCTCTTTGATCTTTAACTCTTTACGTACGCCGTGCAATTTCTTCGTTTACTTTCCCACTTCGCGAACGGAATATCTCTGTCGTCCGACAGTCACCGGAATGCATTAAACGAAAGGGTTAATAAGTGTGTAGAGAGGTTTGACTGATACACTGCTCGTTACGAAGAAGAATATTCCCCTGGAAAAGTTTGTCACGCGTTCGAATGAAATTTTAAAAATTCATCCAACAGATATATATTCAGAAGGCGGCATCTTCAGCTGGAAGTTCCAAGCGGCGCATTAATTCACACACGTGACACGGCTAAAGCGTCAGCGAAGTTAGCGAAAGCATCGAAACTCGCCAAGTGCTCTCTTCCCTCGTCTTCCCGAATTTCTGTCGGAGGGGTTGGCATAAACACAGCGGCTCCAGACGTGGCTGAAGGAACTCACGGGAAAGTGATTTCGTTATTCCTTTCGTTGAACGAGTGAGAGAGCCAGTCCCAGGCGTCGACGACTGGAAGTGTCTCGAGGGTGGAGGGAGAGAAAGAAGGAGCAGAGAAACTTGTAAGTTTCACAGCGTCGTCGTTCGAACCGGTTATTTTTCGAATCACCCGGTGTACCGAGGTACGCGGGGAATGATTTACGATCCGCTTAGGTCGCGACGGACAAAAGCTCCGAGCCGAGGACCCAGACCCCCCGGTTAACAATTCCATTCCTCTTAATTGCATCGTGCTGCATAAACAAGAAACGAGTCACGGAGCACGTCTGCCTCGGCAACGGAAGAAGAGGCGAGAGAAGTTTACAAACTCTCTCCCCTCGAGCTGCTTCTACCACGGGGCACGAGAGAGAAATGATTCGACGATAGTTAGAGACCTTTTAGTAGGAGCGCAAAAAACGCGCGGCGTATTGGACGAATAAATATCCGAACCGTTGCTCGCACTCGAGCGATACGTCACTGGAAGAAACCGAGGATGTATCCGCCTCTTGTTTACCGATTCCACGCTGGACTCGCGGTGTTTACCGTATTCCGGCTCGAGAGGACGTGAAACTTGGGGAGTAAGATCGATGTGGATGTTTGGACGAGATTTTTCATACGTGAGAAAAGATAGGACGGCTGTTTCTTACGAGGAAATCTGAGTGTTTCGAATTGCTTTTCACGGTGGTCTGGAATATTAGTGCATCCTTTGGGATCGTGGGTTTAAGTATTTAAACAATTTTTCTAATAAAAGTAATATTCAACAGTGAAGCATGCGATTGAAAAGGAGAAAGTTGGAGAAATTTATTGCAAAAATTCCGATTTTTATGACACTAGGTTAAATCCACTTGCAATTTTTGGACAGAAATGTCTTATTCTGATTAACGTAATACGAGCGTCGGACTATTTTTAAATCATCATCACTGGCAACTAACACAGCATCGATATTCGGAATAACGGTTCGAATAACACGGGTAGAGGAAAAAAAATATTCGACACCCTGGATCTATCTATCTCGAGCAAACATCGGGCGTGTCGATGAGAAAGATTGCGCGATAAAAATGTATACAATACATATATTCCCGGTTGTTTGCCAGCGGCGTGACAATGAAAAACAAACGGAAGTGGACATTCGCAAATAAAAGTCGAAACCCGATTTCGATTAAATCCCCGGCGCAGTACGTGATATGAGAAGCGTTTGTTGAGCAAAGTCAATGAAATGTTTGATATACAGGAAGGGCGCCGCTTAAACGTATCGCAGACGCGATAAAATATTTGATGTGCAGGTAACGTGGCGCGTGACTCTTGCTAAATTGAATGGAACACACCGCCCGCGACATTTATCTGGATGAACGAACCTATAACTTACGACGTGGGGCTTTTCGAGCCGGGGGAGGGGGACCTAATTCAGATCGAGGGTGCCTCTAAACGCTGGTACGGAAGAAATATCCTCCGACATTCTGTGAAATCTATTCACTCCGGCGTGTAACAAACGAGTTCGCGTGAAATAAAAGATCGAGCAGTGAAAATTTATAATCTACGTAGAAAAATACAAATGAAACTAAAAATTCGAAATAATATCTCGCACAGGGTAGATTATTCCATAATTTCGACTTATCCTGGCAGGAAGAATCATCTTGTCCTCGCTTCCACCGCGATTTCCACCCGCGACAGAGAGGAAACAAACAGCTGCACACTCTAGCTGTCCAAATGAAACGAACGAACCTCATCGCAAAACCACGTTCCCCAAAAACCTGCAGTTTCGTCGGAACAAGAAAGCTCGTCGTAATCGAGGTTCGCAGATATAATCATCGACGATACAACCTTCCACGCCGATACCGTCGAAGTAGCATAGGTACAAGAGGGAACGGATGGCTAATGCAAGTGCTGTGTTACAGTCGGAGCCGCGAGACTCGGCAGATTTGGTTGGCGGGAAATCAGCGGAAAAAATGTAGCAGCCCGAGGGGTACAAGGGAAGGAAATCGCGGATGTCCGGATAAATGGGTGGAAATAGTAGTCCTCGAGGTTGAAGCAGCCAGATTGGTAGGCGTCCAACGATAAGCCGCAAACGTGCGCTGAGAGGCGAAGCAACGTTGACACATGAATAATTGAACAGCGTATTTAGCAAATAGCTACGTAGAATGGACCCTTTCCGTCCCTTGTGTCTTCTGCACGTCTTTCCCTCGACAGCTATCCCTTGCCATTGTATACATATATTTCCCTCCCCTTTTCTTATCCGAGCCATATCGAGACACCGGTGTCCCTCGAATTTCTTCTTATTCCCTCCACTTCTCTCTCTCGATCTCCGAGATTTTCCCTGCGATATTTTTCTCCAAGGTTCAATTGCTTTTACGAAATGTATGTTTTATGAAATGCGAAAATTGGTCGATCCGGCGAGTGGCGTGACACACGGGCACGAATGAAAAATAGAATTGTCAAATCAGGGATCAGCGGGATCGAGGACACAGAAGGATGTCATTTTTTCCGGACGGTTTTCATCGGGACTGTTCTTCATACGGCCGGATATAATTCTCTGTTTGTGACAAATAGACGGATTTCGCGCGATTTAAACGACCGTATTTATCGACGATTGGAGGAGGGGAAAAAAACACTCTGACGGAATTAATTGACGCGTTTCCCTGAACCAGGTAATGTTTTCCAAATATAAATACCAGGATAAAAAAAGAATAACTGAAAATAAAATAAAATAACATCAAGCATCGAATCGAGCTTTTCCACGAATATCTTCCGCTCTGTTTGCCCCTCTATACACGACCAATTTCTTTCTCGAATTTCCGCTGCTCCTTTGACCAACTTTCCTCCGCAACAAACCACCCTTGCGTCGTTATATTTCTCCTCAAATCTGACTCACTCTCTCTCTCTATCTTGTG